CCGCTTCATATTCACTTTCCTGCTGGGTTGGAATGACTTTTCACTCACCTGGTCTCCAGGTTTGCCTCCCTCACCTGGGGGGCCAGGAGGTCCAGGAAGACCCTGTGTACAACAGGGTGACAGATACGCGTTAGGACACCGTAATAAATCTGATAAACCAAAAGCCGGCGGCGGGTTTGAGAACTCACCTGGAAGCCTGAGGGTCCAGGTTGTCCTTGTTCTCCTCTCTCTCCGGCAGAACCCTGCACAAATAAATTCACGACCACAGTTCACCCGCTGACACTACATCAGCTTAGACACAGGAGTTTGCACGGTCAGGACTGAAATCAAAACCGTTTTAACGTGAATGTTGAAAATGGCTCCTAAACCAGATGAGTTTGACTTTCGGGATTATTTCGCACTACATCAGCTTAGACACAGGAGTTTACATGGTAGGATTACCAACTATTTCATTGCAGTTCACGCAATACAGGAAGTCCTCAGTTTTTGACAAACCTTGTCGTACAGGGTTTCGTGGTTATGTCGCCATCTCCCGTATATTTATTAAGAAAGTCTTGCTCCATCCTTTAGCGTACGGCATTAAAACTCAACAACTAGAGTGGACAAATGCGTCGTCACCTGAAGCTCTATGCAGATGATGGCTTTGTTTACATTTACCCGTTGCTCTATTTGCTTTATTCTGTATGGTTTTTTGGGCAACTTCAAGCGTAAGTCAGACTCTTCCTATGTTTTATCACCTAGTTCCTAAGTCCTTGACTCCTAGATCACGCTGTAGGGAAGGAATACAATTCCAACATAAGTCAAGAACCCCCTGTATTATAGGTTGTTTTTAAGTGCAGCCCACAAGATGATGGAGATAATGTCACGTTCTTTAGCCACGTGAAGACACATGGAGGTGATCCGAGGTACGTACAGAAGGTCCAGGAGGTCCAGCAGGGCCGGTTTCTCCATCTTTGCCGGGAAGACCCTGAAAAAGGAGGAATACAATTTTAATAGTGGCCCAGAGGAATTAGAAAACAAGTGAGGTTTTCGCTTCTCGTGTGTGTGAGCAGGATGGCTGAGGTCATTGGGGGGGGGATCAGAGCAGCTACAGAATATCAAAAGGCAAATTGTTTATTATTTGAATGCGGAAGCTCCATGCTATGTCAAAGTTTGACATTTTGACAAATATGACCGTCCGAATCTGTCAGCACGTTTCAGTTATCTCCTTTACAAATGGTGACTCGTGTCTATCCGCGCACACTACCTTCTCAGTCGCTATGGTTCAATTATTCTTATCACTCCGTAACAGCATGGTTGACTTTGAAATGCCATTAAATGCTAACACGCGGGTATCTGCTAAATGTTTTTGGTGTATTTGCATTTAAAACAGATAAGGAGAATAAACTCACTCTCAGTCCAGGAGCTCCAGCCAATCCCTTCTCTCCAGCTTTGCCAGCTTCACCCTAATCACAAATAAAAAAGAAAATAAATAAAAAAAAAATCAAGGCTTGACAAAAAGGCCAGGTCTGATTAGCTCGGTCCTCTATTAGCATAATATTTTTAGCAGTACTCTGAAAGCAAATGGAAATGTGAGATTTTGAAACTCCACATCATGTCATGTATCTGTATCAATACTAACAGATGCTCCTTTGGGTCCAGGGAATCCCATGACACCAGGCTGTCCACGGGCTCCCTGTGGACCAGGTGGGCCGGGACGTCCGTCTTCACCGGAGCCTCCCTGTCGAAAAAATGAACAACACCACAAATGAAAGAAAGTTTGTATTTGAATATAGCGCGCTGAACGAAATGATTCAACCTGGTTTATTAAAGTGAAGACTAAATTCAGAAAACACATTTCACCTGTTTTAAATCTGCTAGTGGTCAGTAGAGCCTGTTTTAAAAACCAGGGGTTTTACTGTGAAGAGTTTTGACGTAAAAAAAAACATTTTTCCTGAACTTTCTACATTCACGAAACAGTTTGGACTCAGATCAGATGTTGAAACGAAAATTTTATTTTTTAACATTTTCATTAACGCCACCCGGAGTGTTAAGTGCAGGCTTTATAACTTGAATGTTTCTCTTAAACTTACAGAAGGTCCAACTTTCCCCTGAGGACCAGCGTCACCAGGGCTTCCGGTCAAACCCTACAGGAAAAGAAGGGTGAGAAACCAGATCCAAATGAGTCACCAGACTTGTCAGACACGTGCTGAAGAACCTCGGAAACATATGACAACCTGAGAAATTAAATTTGCACCTCGGATGTGCAAGAATTAACAACTCCCTCCCCCCCTCCGTCTTTGACGGAAATGACTAAGACTTGAAACCTGAATGGATGAGAGAGAATTTATGCACAAAGCTTCACAACAGATGCTTTCTTACTTATTTACTATAAAAAATTTACAGCATATATAAAATGATCAAACTACGTATTTAACATCTAGCTCATGTTAAAAAAAAAACTTGGTTTTCATTAGTTCCTAATCGTATTTTAATCGCTTTGTTGCACTGTGGGATTTTGCAATGTGTTACTGTTATTATAACAGTACATATATACAAGTGCACATCGGGCTATAAACCAAAGTCAAATCGAAACAACAAAATGGATTTTGTCTCCCTTCTCTTACAAACTCCACTTAGGATTGACAGTAATTTCTCTAGTGCATTTTTCAAAAGTGCTGTCAATAAAAAAAAACAAAAACATTGTTCTGCCTCTTAAGCGTTTCATGGAATAATGCTGAAACATTGCTTCCACTCCTGCCCGCTGCTCCAGTAAAGCCTGGTCTGATCAATCAGAGTCTGGCAACCTCAGTAAAAAAAACAAACAAAAACAAACCCACAGCTATCCAGATAAAGACTCTTAAATTTGTGCTTTATAATACTGTAATGTATGAGGGAAAAAAAATCCCATCAGACTGAGTTTAAGCCTCGCTCCCATCATACGAATGAACAACAGCTAACAAATGTGATGAACTGTGGAAACAAACTGCAGTCACAACACAAACCCACCCTGGCACCAGGCAGACCAGGCTCTCCAGGACGACCAGGGTCACCGTTGGCCCCCTTAGGGCCGCTGGCTCCAGAAGGTCCACGCTCACCGGGGGCTCCCTGGGGAAAAAAAGATTATAAAAATGAGAAATAATCATTCAGTTAGTCTTCCTACTCGGAACAATTCAAGTCACGACTCCCTTGACAAAAAAAAGTCTATCTTTGAATGATTGAAAATAATTTTATTTAACTGTTGGAGTGGACGTATACAACTTCATACAATGCGTTCTGTGGTAATTGTATGTGAAAGTAGAGTTAAGGAAGAGTTAGACGAATTGTTAATGATCTCTGTCGCCATCTAGTGGTCACATGGCGTAGTTACAATTATCACAACTGTCCAAGACATCTGGGTACATCCAAAAGAAACTGATTTATTTCTCCAACAGCTGAGTCTATTAGCTTAGAGCTACACTGACATAGCAGCGGCATAAACACTCACTTAACTTGTATTTATTTTTGTCTTGAGACCTGGTTAGGATATTTATTTATCATTTTTATTTATAACTTTAGATTTGCCTCTTATGTATCCTTCACACTTACACTTTTACTGCCATTTTTGTCATCATATTAACCTTGTTTGAATGTTTCTGGACTGTAGAAGTTTGTACGGTCATACAACGGTGAACATTTCATAATAAGAGTTTATTCAAGGACAGTCCTTGAATCTTCTTATAACAAAGTATTTTAAATTAAACTTGAAATTAACCAGTCTATTGATATTTGTTTTCAAACATTGTCACATATTTCTGCCGCGAGGTCGGCCTAGAGACACCAGGTCTACGTGTTGTCTATGAAAGCAGCAGTCTGTTGTCTGACAGTGGTCTATATAAAAAACTCTCGAAAAACTCTTCTCACCTTGGGTCCAGCCAAACCATCCTGACCTGGGAAACCACGGTTTCCTGGTGCGCCCTACGAAGACCACACAAATCAGACAAAGTCAGGCAAATGATCACTGGTATTTGTACTGAAATGAATCAAATAAAAGATACATACAATTTAAAAAAAAAAAAAAAAAAATTTAATTTTGACAACATATTTATACAGCTCAAAAGATGAACCAATGAAGCAATGTTGCATAACATCTTTTATATACTAAAAAGAGCAACAAACAAAGGAAGTTACTCACTCTCTCTCCGGGGGGACCGAGTGGTCCAGCAGAACCTGGTTCACCTCTTGGCCCTCTCTTACCCTCTTCTCCTTGGGGACCAGGTTGTCCCTGAGTTCCAGCTGGTCCCTAAAATACAACCAGAGACGAGTCAAAGTCAAAAGCTTCTAATCACCTGCCTGTGGATATTAGTACATTTTGTTTAATATAGTTTTATATACTGATGAGCTAATGAAAACTTACAATTTCTCCTTTAGGTCCAGCCTCTCCCTTGAATCCTGCAATACCTGGGTCTCCCTAAAGAGTACAGGATAAAGGTATATTACATGTTTGTTATTTTTCTAAGTGCCATTTTGCATTGTTTTACTGTTGTTCTCATAAGGTAAGGACGTACGGATGTTCCTTTGGGGCCGAGTGGTCCAGTTGCCCCCTGTGGCCCAGGAGGTCCACGTGGTCCAGGGAAACCAGGAGCACCAGCAATACCATGACCACCCTAGAGGAGAAAAGATAACAGCAGTGATCCCATTGGTCAGTTCATCTTACTGGATTAGCAGAGTCAAATTAACAGTAAAACGTTGACACTAAAAAAAAAAAATAAAAAAAAATAATACTTACAGCTGATCCTTTAGATCCAGGGATTCCATCAGTTCCAGGGTTTCCCTTTAAGGAGAAACACAAACGGAGCATTTCAGTAACCATAGCGACGGTCGTTCTTTATAGTTAATGAATAGTGAATTATTGTCTCTGCACTCACAGAAGCACCACTGGGTCCAGGTGATCCAGGGGTTCCAGACTCTCCCCGAGGTCCTTGAGCACCTTCAGGTCCACGAGCACCAGTAGGTCCAGCTTCTCCCTGGTCCACAACACAGCAGGATGTGAGGAAAGTAACAACTAACTGGATTTGCATGAAAATATTTTAAGGCATCTGAGCCTGTAATCATTATTGAGTCATAAAATCAAACTAGGATGGAATCAAAATTTAAAAAAAAAAAAAAATGAGGAAAAATCAAATCAAATTAAGGAACCTCAATTGTTACGTTAATGTGATGAAAATTTTTTGGACCAGCTGTAACTGATGCATTATTTTTTGGTTCTTATTGTAAAGGAAGAACAATCACAAAATCCAAATAATTAAGTGAGTCTTCTTATTAAAAACAAATATTTTCTCTAACAAAATCTGTACGGTATGAACTAATATTAAAGGATTTTGATATAAAATCATTTATCATCAGACAAAATGCATTAAAACCAGATGTTCAAAAGTACCAGTACCACCAACATTAATATAGAATATTACAGAATATTACACTACTTATTACTATCCACTAGAGGGAGCCCAAGTACCACTTGTGGTATGTGTGCCGCAGTTTGAGAACCACCAGAGCAGCAAGCCCCCAGTGTCTGTGTGAAATCTGAAGTGACTTCCATTAATCAGTGTTGCTCGACTTGAAATAACACCATTTGGGTTCAATGTTTTTTTTTTTTCTTTTTCTTTTTAATTTCGCTTCACAAACATTTGGTATTAAAAGCAAAATACCCCAGGTTGCTATAAAAATAGCTTCCGCCACTGGAGACGGTCACTATTTTTCACTCTCAATTCTAAATGCACAAAGGCCACACAATGAACACTTAGGATTTTGACTGCGATTTGTTTGTTATTGCTACATGGCGACGACAGCAGCCTGCTGTCTTCATGACGTGGCATTTTACAGTCTTTGAGTTTTGATGAAGCAGACAGACTTTATTCAAGAACTGGCTCATGTGGGTGTTTTTTTGAGACTCTGAGTGAAGAGTTAAATTCAGAAAAGGGAAGGAAAACTGCTTTTCATTAAGCTCATAAAATGAAGGTGGAGCTCCAAAAAAAACCCCAAAACTTTAGAGTCTTAACTTTAGTTGAGTTTCAGTGCTTTTCTGCACACAAACATTAAATCAAACTCTATGGACAAACCATATGGGCATAGATGAAGGAAACGTAGAATAAAAAACAGAAGAGAAGAGAAGAGACATGCCATATGTGATTTCTGCAAAAATCTTTCATGAGACCCAAAGAGGAAAAGCAAGCCCTTGAGCACAGACACAGTATGTGACTGCCTGCCATGCAGCAGAAATAAATCAGATGCAAAGCACAAAGGAAATAAGAACAGAGCAGCATGAAGGGGAGCGAGCGGCTGAGAAGGGAGAATATAACTCTTTGAAAAAGCTCTTCCTTTCCCATTTTCCAAACAGATGGAGGTTTAAAGCGCTCCTGAGTGAAGTGAAGCCACCTCTGATTTTCACTTGAGGATTTCAACTTGTCCTCCCTTTAGGCCCAGTTGCGGCCATTTACGAAACACACACCTTCTGACGATTCTTGATTCAAGAAACTTCTGCTGGTTTTCCAGTTTTTTGTTGTTCTTTTTTTACCAAGAAAGTCTGACTAAAGAAGGGATTTGTTCAGTTTTGTTGCTACAGAAGGAAAATAATTTAATCAATTTTCTTAAACACATCTATGTCAAAAGGGGGGAAAAAATAGACAGGGAGAGAGTAGCAACGACAAACTTACCTTTGCACCAGGGGACCCAGGGAAACCAGGAGCTCCAGAAGGACCGAGCGGGCCCTGCACACAGAAGAATACAGACTGTCATCTCAACTGTGCATCTTCAAAGACGTCGTTTAGGTACTATACTCAATTTGAAAACCAAATGATTCAGGTGAAATTGATGCGAACTCACCGGGGGACCGGCAGGTCCTGAAAGACCGTCATTACCACGAGCGCCCTAAAAAAATAGAACAAATTAGTGTTAGCTGAAAAAGTCAGCTGATCAGAAAAATATCTCTATAATAACCAAGTTAAGACTATACTATACGAGTCTGAAGGGTTAAACAGTTAAAGTTACTGAAATACCATACTACATAATATTTATATATTATTGGTAAAATGACACTCACTGCAGCTCCACTAGGTCCAGGACGGCCTCTCTCACCAGGCAGACCACGAGGTCCCTATGTAGGCAAGCAAAGGAAAAATCAACATATTGAACCAGCTTCTAATTATTATTATTTTTTTCTTTTTTTAATAAATAGGATTAACAAAGCCATAAGTCTCATCTCATCTCAAACACGCACCATAGGTCCGGGGGCACCGTTATCTCCAGGGGCACCAGATTCACCCTGAAAGATGAAGCATGCAGCTGTCAGTAGGGCAGTGTAAGATCAGATGCAGTAAAGGGCATTTAGTGAAAAAAAAAAAAAAAAAGGCTCTAATAATTGGACCATTCAAATTAATTTTTTTTTTAGCAGGTTTGTTAAAAATACTTCATCATCAAGATTCATATTAAACGTGATCATATGTAGGAATTCAGGATCATAGAGTCATTTTTTTTCAGACAATTCTTTGATTTGGATACAGTAGGACACAAGCGCGTGTCTAAAAAAACTGGAAATCCAGGAAGGTTTGTCATGATCTGGGTCACTGCTGATTGGTCAAATTGCATGACGTACAAGTTTGACAAGTAATTTCTTTCACTTTGTAAGAAACTAGTTATAATTTTGCAATCATATAATCAAATATAAAATCAATGTTCTTTTTGATTTGAATACAGACTAGACGTCCCATCGAGGAGAACACGATGTACCTTTGATCCGACAGCTCCAGTCTCTCCCTTTGCACCATCAAGACCTGAATATCCCTAATACACATACAAGTGTGACACGTTAAATTCTGAGTCCGTTTTGACAAACAACATCAACAGGGAATTTTTGAACAAGACCAAAACCAAACCACTTACTCTGTGTCCCTTGATGCCAGGCAGGCCAGGAGTTCCTGGGAATCCACGAGCTCCCTGTGACACAAGATATGAGATGATGCCCAGTGTACAGTGAAGGTAAAAAAAAAAAAGAAGTATCTGAAGTTTAAAATTGTCATTAACGAGTAAAAACGTCGATGTTTAAAGTGATAGATGTTTACGTGTAAATAATAAAATATAATAATAATGTGTTATCGTATCGTACCTGAGGTCCTGTAGGTCCGCGCTCGCCTGATTTTCCAGGTTTTCCTGCTTCACCCTGGACCGTAGTAAAAGAATGAGAAATGTTGAAAAGGTAAACTTTCATGACGGAAAAGTGTAACTTTGTCTATTTAACTTTGGTTTTGCAAAAAAAAAAATCCTGTCACGTATGCTAATGCTATGAAAATAGGCACCCCTAGTGGACAAAAGAGAAGTATCACGTCTGCTGCCATCGTGTGGAAAAAGGCATATATTACATGTTGAGGTCATCTATTTTATCTTTGAGAATTTACGGAATTATAATCTCTCTACAAACTGTGTATAATAATCAAGAAATGACAAAAGATCTTTGTGGCAAAACCTGGTTTAAATATCGCAGTAATAGCACATTAATGATTTGTGTGTGAGTTCAATCTGTGATTTCCACTTAAAATTAAAAACAAGTATAAACAAGTAACTAACTTACCAAATATAATATTAATGACTGGAAGGTTACAAATGAAACTAAAAAAGTTAAACAAGTAAGAATTTTTTTAAAAATTATAATGGAAACATGTAGACATTTTAATTTTATTTGTGTAAAAGTGTATTTTTCTACAAGTGGCTACAAAATATAAATTTTATTTGGATCAAAATGGACCTTTTAAAATGTTAGCTGTTTTACATTGTCCCAGTAGTTGAAAAAAGGCATCATTTACGCAAATTAAATATATATATATATATAAATATATTAATAAATATATATACATATATATATAGTACATATAGTACATATTACCCATTTTATGAGAATCAGACACAATTTCAAAAGACTGTCTAATGGGGTTCCAGGATTTATTTTTTTTTAGTATATATATATATATATATATATGTGGATTTATCATATTTTAATACACACTCACGTCTTCTCCAGGTTTCCCAGGAGGTCCAGAGGGGCCACGGGGTCCCATGGGGCCCTGTTTTGGTGAAGAGAAAGAATCCAAGGTGAGACACGGCTATGTAATCTAAACCTCTCTCTATTTCTACAAAGCTATGTTAATACGCTGATGAGTCGTCATCTTTTCCACATTGATTAATAACGAGTGACAAGTTTCAGAGGTGAAAGGTCTCCATTTGAGCCTTTAACATCTGAAAGGTTGTTTTTGTAATGCGGTTGATTTTAATTCCACCTAATGATGCACAGCCACAGGCTCTTCAAAGGAGAGGTCACCCAACATAATCTCTCCTCTCCACAGGAGCAGATTATAACAGCAGCGAGGAGACGCCGTGTTTTCTACCTGCTGGGGGTTTTCTAAAGACGGGGAGGGGGAGCGGGGTGAGTCTGAGTTTGGGACGCTACAGGAGGGCCAAATACTGGTAGAATAAGTACATTAATTAATAAGTACTGACCATGTCTGTGAGTACAAATCATGTGTGGTTTTTTTTTCTGTCTTTTTGATTTGTTTTGTTTTTTCCCCCCCTGATACTGACACCTGCAGAGAATACACTTCAAATCATGCGATGGTTGACGGAGAGGAATGTCTTCCCCACCGGACACTTACAGATTGTCCGGGCTCTCCTGCCTCTCCTGGGTTGCCCTGGAAACCTTGTGGACCCTGGGGGTGAGAAAACAACAGGTAGATTTTTTTTTTAATGTGAACAGTCGCTGAGGAAAGATTATGAACAATCTCAATTTTTGTATGTCTATTTACATATATTTATCTGAAAGGCACACATTTACCCAAACTATAATGAAATGTCCCTTTTGTCCTTATCTGTATTCTAGTGATATTTTTTGAAAAACATTTCCATGTTCAGCGCAAAAATCAAAACTTATCTGTATTCTAGTGATATTTTTTGGACAAAGCACAAAAGTCAACAGTCAAGGCCTCATTTCAAATCACAAAACTACAAACAAAACACACCGCTGTCTTTTTGACAGCATCATAAACTGCAGCTATTACATCAAAACCACCATCTAATCAGTAAACCGCTGTCGTCGACATTCAAGTCCAAGATCACCTGACTCCGTAAGTGAGTCGAGGCTGATCACACCATCAGGCTGAGACAAGTCAGCCATGCCAACAATGTAATAGCTCCCCTCTGAAAGACGACTACGGCGAGAGCTCAGCTGCAGACAGGAAGACACTAAGGTGGAGAGGTAAGGGGACGGGTCGGACGGGTTTGTGATCGGACAGTTAGGACGAGAGAATGTCAGGTGTTGTGCGCTGGAGCAAAGGAAAATGTCCTGCAGCTGAGGGACGACTGATAATGTATAAAACACTCATAAAGACTCATATTGACAGTAAACACAGGTGCACACGGTTTGTAGGTGACGTCCTGCTCGTGATGACGTTAAAACTCCAGCACTCAGGATCCTGTCAGCGGGGATCTAGTGCACAGGTGTGCTTCTGTAATGGGCTGCATGTGGAGTGCAGGAAGTACTCACAGGTGATCCAGAGGGGCCAGGTGGTCCTCTGGGTCCCATCGGGCCCTAGGGGGGAAAAATATGACAAGACAAACATCTGGGGTTTAGAAACATTCAAGGCTCATTTATCTCCATTCAGAACTGGGAAACAAACACACCTACTACGTTTTGTTTTGGTATTGGTCGATCGTATACTGCCAACTTGAAATATATCACACTTTGCCCTCGGGGCTAAACAAACAAAACTCATCTGCTGCACCTGTCAAATCTATAAATCCTCTCAAATTCCTCTGTTGTGTTCAGACTTTTCCCCACTCTTCCGACGAAACCCTCCTCTTTTTTTTTCTGCCAGCTTTATCCACATCGTTAGTATGTGTGTGTGTGTGTGTGTGTGTCTGGGTATTTGTGTGTGTATAAGGGGTATATCTAGTTGAAAGGTCGTCAGTAATGGCGGTTTGCACTCCGTAAACAGAAAGCTCCATAAACGCAACATGACTTCAGACTCTTTAAAATAAAATGAAAAAAACAAACAAGATTTTTTTTTTCTTTTATCTTTGTATTGAATTCAAGCTTTAGCCTCCAAATGACAACGACGTGTTATTGACTTAATTTTTTAAAAATATATAATTTTACCACCTCTGTGCTTTAATCTCCCCAGCGAGCACTTCTGGAGTCACATTCCAAACACTAATTTCTCCACGCACCACCTCAACTCATCGAGAGAAAATTACGTTCTGTGGAGGTGATGAGCCGAACCCTTTTTTTTTATACACACATGCGAGAAAGCTGCTTTTATAAAAGGGTTGGAATGCTTCATCAAATTTGCAGTGTTTACCAGGGTCATTTGTGTGTTCTCCTCGTTTCCTCTGCATCAGTCGGGCCTGCATTTCTGAACCTTCCTGGTTCTGCTTATATAAATCAGGGCCGGTGGCCAAAGAAAATGGGAGAATGAGGCACAGTGATCCTCAGGTGGGAATGAAAGTCACCTTTCAGCAGCTGTGGGGAAACCTTCCCCGCAGTGGCTGCAGGAGACTTATCAATGGGCCTCTGTATCTTCTGGACTTTAGAGTCGTATGTGTGTGTGTGTGTGTGTGTTGTTTTAGGGACATGCAGGAGTGCGTGTGCGCAAACCTTTCAGTGAGAGCGTTGTTTGGACGAGGCTGGACTGAGGTGTGTGTGTCGGTGGGCACGTGTTTGTATATGAATGAATCATACGCTTGATTTGTGATCGAAAGTCAGTCTGGTGTTTTCGTCCATTGCCGACACTCACACACACACATTGGATGCTTCAAAAAGCCCCAAGTGTTCAGCCTGTGTATGCTGAGACGTCAGTCAGTGGGAAAACACACACTGACAGCCAGCAGCACACATTCTGCTGCCGGCTGGGGGCTGTGATCATCTCCAGCCAGCTCACTGCCCCCTCACTCCTGGTGAGGTTTCTCCATCTTCCAAAGGTTTGAGACACGGCCAAGCCTGGTCTGTGGGCCTCTCTACAGAAATAGTATCCAGAGTTGCTCCTCACTGCATTCTGGGCATCCAGTCATAGCAGCACGTATGCGGCAGCAGTGGTCTTTTTTTCTTCTTCTTCTTCTTCTTCTTCTTCTTATAAATTACCCCTCTGTATTCCAAAGAGAGTGTTTATTTTCCTTGAGGCCACATTACTGTGTTGCTTCTTGTCCGCAGCACTCCAGGATTTTCTTTCTTTTTTTTTTTTTTCCTTCTTCCAAAACTATTAAGTAAAGAGCTGCGAGACGCATGTGACATACAGGTGATGGAATCACTCATCTGTGTGCTTTTCTCCCGGTCGTAATCATTTTAAGCCTCGCCTGATTGGCTGCTGTGTTTTTTCCCCCCAGTGCATTTCTTTAGAATTAACAGAACTTGCTGCGATTCTTGGTGTGAAGAAAATCTCAGAGCAGGTTTGAATTTTGTGCCTGGCTCTGCTCCCGATTCTTTCACATGTTTCCTCCATTTGGTAGATTAGTGTAAAATAGAAGAAGAATCAGGACATGGCAGCCGCAGCAGTGACTGGTGACATCATCACTTGCTCACCATTGGTCCTTGCATCACACCCATCTGTGCGCCGCCAGACTTCTCGTCAAATCCGCCAGCCATCTGAGCAGCAAAGTTCTATAAAAAAAAAAGAAGAAAAAAAAAAGCAGAATAAATAAAAGACACTTCTTTAAAACAAAACCCATATATTGTAACCAAGAGAGCCAAAAAGGGCCGTGAATTCTTCAAATTGCACTGGCATTACAACAGAGGTAGTGAATATGACTTTATATTCAAGTATGTTTACTGCCTTGTTAAACATGTCGGCGCAGATCGTCACAGAGTGAAAACTTCCATGTTTTTTACCACTCTGTTTACATGGGCTTTCGAGAGATTACCAGCCGATTTAGAGGCGTTCTATTTCTGCTGGTTAGAGGAGAAACGGTGAACGCCATGTGAACGTTATCATCTTGCAGTGTCTTCACAAAGACTCCTCTTGTCTCCTCACCCCCACCCCCAAACTGAAAAGTCCATTCCCTTCCCCTCTAACATAATACCTTCTGCCCTGCTGCCTCCCCCTCCCCAAACCTTATTGCCTCGTTTCTACCTTTCTCAGAGGCATTTGATCTGCTGCCTGCACACATTGGTGTCCGTCTGGCTCTACTTCTAGCCTTCAACGTCCTGAATATCCCAGATTTTTTTTCTCTTTTTTTTGATCAAACGTCCTGAATATCCCAGATTTTTTTTTTCTTTTTTTTTGATCAGAAACTCTGTCCATTCAACTAAACTGAACCCCCGACTGACCTTGTAAACTCCCTACTGCGAATACCAGTATACAACTCAACCTGCCATGGGATACTTACTCCTCCAAGGCCAGGGGGTCCATTTGGTCCTGGAGGTCCAGGTGGGCCGGGGTTTCCAGGTGTTCCAGGTTCCCCGTCTCTGCCACGGGGACCAGGGCTTCCCTGAAGAACAGTGAAATTCCTCAGTTAGTGCAAGAAAACAGAAGACAGTGCGTGATGGTTTACATACTGAGAAAATACTGCATGAGAGTACGGCAACAAAAACGACAAATTGAATTATAGGCAACTATTTTATTCACGAAGAGAGGGCAGATTGCAGGAAGAGAAATTGAAAGTACTGCTAATTGTTTAGTTAGTCATCAAAAAAAAAAAAAAATTCCTACACTACTATCACTGTCTGTCAGAAATTGATTTGTTCTCTTTGAGGTTGTGCTTCAAAAAGCCATTACAGTCACTGGCAGCAGTCAACTGCTGGACAACATTTTTAAAGAGCTACTGTTGACAGAAGCCCAGCTTCTCCACACACTGACAGTCAACAGTGCGATCTTGCATCAGGACAGAAATTCAGAAACGACACAGTGAGTTTGCTTTTGATTAAACAACAAAAGCAGAGTTACATTTTCAAGGTTTACTGGTCAAAACAGATGATATAATCCTTTCAGGGCTGCTGCAAAAAGTGATGATTTATCATCTCACATCAGACGACCCCACATACCTCTGTGCATGTAGTGACAAATTACGCTGCGAGGCGATAACGAACCAAGTATGTGCTGACACTCGTAGATCACATGAAGGACGAGTTCTTTAACTGGGTGTAAACTCAGGAGGAAGACGTGAGAGAAAAAGTTAACCACGAGGGGGAGACAACACTTGCTGTTTTATTTCTCACGCTTAATAAAACCAGTCGACCTTGTTCTGAGGATGTAATAATCGCCATTTTTAGTTTTTTTGTTACTCCCTCCATGATCCCACTGATGTTGTTGTTGCATTTATTTAACACGCAGTTTGTGTAACAGATACTTGTACAGTACCTGTCCTGGCCAAAACTCGTGTCCTATTGACATAAATCAGTGAATAACAAGATTAAAAACCGCTGGCCCTCCGGCTCTATCATGTCCAAGTGTTGCTGAATGAATGCGATGATCAAAGTCCTGGCTAACACAGTCAAAGTGATTTCCCACACTACGAGTAAGTTTGACGCCTGCAAGAGCAGCAGAGGTTTTACGTAATGACACGACGACAATCCGACATCTGTGAAACGGCCCAGACCACACAGCCTCTCACAGCTGCCCTGTGAGAGGCTGTCTGTCTGAGGACCAACTGCAAACTGCAGCAGGTACCTCCTTCTCCCCATCCCCCGACACTAACCCCAGAGATCAGAATAAGAAGGATGTGAAAGTGTGAGCCATGCTTTTTTTAACGCTTTGGGTGAAAAGCAGACCCTCATTTAAAATAATATTTAAAAAAAAAAAAATCAACTGACCTTCTCTCCCTTATCTCCTCTTGATCCACGGGGTCCTTGCTCTCCTGGTGGGCCCTGTAGAGTGATGGACAGTGAAGTAGAGTCAGAGATCTAAGGTATTGGCTACTGTTGGAACTTGTGACATTGGGACAAACTTGCAATTTAGACATCTGTAAAAAAAAACAAACCCAAATCTATTAAAAAGATGTTTAAATCCATAAAGAAGTGTTTACCATTGGTCCATGTGGTCCTCTTGGTCCTACAACCTGTGCACAGAGACAACATATTAAGATTATTAGTATGCAAAGCTATGGCAGCATCAGTCAAAACTGTGAATCATCCTGGGACTGCTGCATTGCAGCATCAGTCAAAACTGTGAATCATCTCGAAAAGTTTTCACCCTTAAATTCTAAAATCCTGGGACTGCTGCATGAAAGTCTGCTCAAAGTGACTACAAATGACATTTCAGTGCAAACAAGGACTAAAAGCATTAATGTCTTTTCCGTCAGAGCAGACTTTCAATTGCTAATCTCTGCATCTCTGCACAGTTTAAAAAAAAAAATCATACAATAAACAATGCTCCTTATTTCTGGCCATGAACTTTCAGTCCCTCTGATGGTAAAGCATTTCCAGGTGTGGTGGCAGGATAAGAGTTCACTCAGTTTTTTTTCCCTCTATTTCCATCTATGGAGGGTTGTATAGAGGCACGTGCGTGGACAGGAAGTCAGCTACCTACTCTGTCTTTCTCAGGCTGGTATTCTACATTCTACACTGAATTTCCTGTTTGACTGTGTTATCAGATTAGGGGGTTTCTTTCACCCACCCAACATATTTTACTCGTGTGTATAACTTTAAAATGTAAGGATTTTTTTTTGGTCAAATTTCGAATCAAAACACGTTGTTTCTGTAGATATTTTTGGTGTCAACTTACATCAGTGATGTCTCCAGGTTCACCTTTCTGACCCTAGCATTGGAAAAGGAATATTAATAACACCTCAAAGTAAACATCAACATGGTTTCCGTTCTGTGTTTCTCATCCATACTTTGTAAATGTTAACGATGAATTACTTTGTTTACTCATATTCGTGTTCTCACCTTAGCTCCTGGTACTCCTGTGAGGTGATTATGGCAGGTAGAGGGGGGGGAAACAGAGTTTCAAAGTTAGTGACTATAGTCAGAAGGAACTGATTTACCCATACATGTCCACAATCCCTATCAGTCCTTTTGGACTGTCCTAAAATAAATCAGCGAAGACCACCACCAGGCGTCACTCGTGGAACCAAATAAAAGCCCATCTTAGATCAACCGATGTTGACTAAATCACCATCTTAGGAGCTAAAGCTGGGTTAAAGCAGGAAGTGTACAGGAGCAAGCATTAGTAGTAGTATGTGTACGAGGAATTTATTTTTCATTATGACGTATATACGTATGTGAGGTATGGGTCAAGCTAAAGCTTCTATTAATGGTTAAGTAGCAAAATGAATGATTTAGGATGTAAGAATGGAATGTGATGATCCGTTATATTAACCCAGGTTTATTATCATCATATATATTTTGCAAAAACAACTGTGATCCAATTATAATATTATTAACATTTTTCCCCCCTTGTAAACCAAATTCAATGACCCAAATTAGCTAAGCATTTGCTAAGGAACAATGATAATAAAAAGCATGCACTGCGAGTAAAGTGACACGTCTGATTTCATTTGATGCTTCTCTGCATTTGTCATCATGTCTTTTCAGAGCTGACCAACCAGGCCCATGTTTATCAGAAACCCAGGTCACCTTTACCTTTAAAGGTAAGAGGGGGAGAGGTACAAATACTTCAGAGGAAAACGCCTGACCGTGGCCAAAGCGTCATTGCTTTTTCTTGCCATCAAATCGGAGAGAAATCCATAGGGAGGATATCAAGTAGAAAAGTGAGTCTGCGTCTGCTCCACTGAGGTATTTTCCTAATGACTCCCATATGTTCTCACGAATGGAGTATTCACAAGAAGGGGGCCAAGGTGAGCCAGCTCCAGAAAAACAATGACAATGAGGTAGCATTTCTCTGAAATATGGCCAGAGGTGTCACTCTTGTCATTTCCTATCATTTGTTTGCTTCGGGGATGGAGACCAGTATT